CCTATTGAACGTGATGACGCGCTATTGAACGTGATGACGCGTGTGGAGTAGTTGGGTAGGACTGCCTACAAATTAGGTCAAATTTTTAATTAATTCATAAAATATTAATCAGGCGATTAAGTCAAATTGAATGTCATGATGCATTGTCTTCATGTCTTAACCCACGTATTAATTACAAACCGTATCTGTCAGAAGTGCCTGCAATTTCGCTCGGGCGTTTCGATCTAGACAGACAGACAGACTTACGACTGACGAGGAAGTGAGTTAAATAAAAGCTTGTAAAAAAGTTCATAAAAACCTTTTAATAACAAGCTTTTATATACTAATGCACTAAAAAGTAGAAATATATAGTAATATAATACACTACTATTTCTATAACTATAAAGAAAAGCGTGGGTCACTATATTATCTATTGGTTACTTTTACTAATATTTAGATCGATGTTGTAAGGGAGGTAACCGATATTTTCGTACCCGCTTATAGTGCGTTTTTTATTCATTCCCCTTGCTCAATACAAAGTGCATTTATTTATTTATGAATTTGATTTTTAAACAATATAATATGTTTCTGCAATGATTTGTATTAATCACTAACATATTATAGATTAGACAAACACAAATAAACATGATGAAAATGTACTAGATATACAAGTAATTTCAAATCTCAAATTTAAAAATTTCTCGTTCAAAGTTTTATTATCAACCTTCTCTATACGAAACATTTAAAACCGCCCATTCTACTATCTATTGTAAACATTTGACACTCGAAGCTACTCTTCTAAGATAGACATCTCCAAATCTAAGCAAATGTTTATGGAAAAAAAGTTGGACAAAGGCTATGGAAGCAAATTGAAAAGGAAAAGCAGGCTGAAATCGGAATCAACGGCCTATAAGGCGCTGAACAAGTTGAGAAAAGTTTCCTTTTCAAACCTGACGGTCTATGGGGCAAGTAAAGTAGAGTTCACTTGTTTCTGTGACCTCGGCATATAAAGAGATAGTGTGGTCAGCACTATGCCCAGCCGCCTTTACTTTCCCTAACGTGAGTTCGGTACCCATCAGAGTTGGGTGGACTCAGGGACGGTCTACTGACTTGAACCTCTGATTCGAACTCGAGACTTACGGGTCTCTACCGCTAGACCACTCCGTCCCAAGTGTAGAAGTAATACTTAATTGTGTTGGGTGAGGAAATCTCTTCCAACATGAAAATTAATTAAGAACGAAGAGAGAAGATATTATCTGTCTGTTAGACTTGTTGTTTTTAAATCGTTTAGTGGGTGACCACTTCCGAAGAGCCTGGTATGTCGGACTCCCAATTCCCCTACATTATAGCGTGGGGGAGGAGAGGGGCAAGACTGCCGGGAACCAAAAGGGGTCTGCTCTCGACCCTAACCAGATATTTTGACTTTAAGCTGCGGCCTTCACGTGGCTTCGGAAGAGTGCCATTAGCCGGACCAAGCTCATGACCCCCCTCTAGTGGGTGCGGAATGGCTAGTGGTTGCTAACAGCAGCTAGAGGCTTCTGATCTAGTCGGACCCCCCCCCCCCCCACGATCAAGCTGGGTACCAGACGGTAGGACGACGTCCCGCGTTTGGTGGGTGGGGAAGGAAAGCCCGGTGAGAACCGACGGAGAAGCGACCGACGTGTAGCGATCAAACCGACACTAAACGACTTGCTACGACCACCATGTGTCGGAGTTTGCTACACTGAGGCCTGCCTGGCTAATGGGAGTCCAACAGTTTGCTAGACTGAGGCCTGCCTGGCTAATGGGAGTCCAACAGTTTGCTAGACTGAGGCCTGCCTGGCTAATGGGAGTCAACCTCCTGAGCCGGTTTCCGTAGAGAGAGAGAGAGAGAGAGTGGGTGAACCTTTACGATAGAGGGATTCGTTTTAAACTTTGATGATAAGACATACTCATCAAGCCCAAAGTGAAATTTATTCAGGTATCAAATAACATTGAAAACTTATTTCAGGATTTCTGAAAACAAAACGCTGCTGCGGTCACATGATCAGTCACGTGAGCTTGTATTAACATGCGATATTCACACGTTTTGAGGAATTTACATATTCCTCAAGTGAGCTTGTATTCTCATGTAATATTCACACGTTTTGAGGAATTTATATATTGCTCAGGTGAGCTTGTATTTACATGTGATATTCACACGTTTTGAGGAATTTACATATTCCTCAGGTGAGCTTGTATTCTCGTGTGATATTCACACGTTTTGAGGAATTTACCTCCGAAAGGGATGTGCGCATATAATTTTAAGTCTATAGCCTGATAGAAACGACACACTAATAATTAATCGAATAGAAAATAATGATTTGAATGGAATCGGAAAAAATAAAAATGAAAATACGAACAGGGGCGTAGAGAGGGAGGGGGGCGGGGGGGGGCGGATCGCACCGGGTGATACCAAGGCAAAAAATAGTAAAATATATAGAGAAAAACTTGACGGGGGGGGGGTGCAAATCGAAAATTTGAAAGTTTGTCACCGGTAAGGGTCGCTACGCCTCTGGGGAGGGGGGCGACACCATTAAGTGCCGCACCGGGTGACACCCGACCTCGCTACGCCACTGAATACGAATACATTAACAGTTTAATTATTTTAGCTCTTAGTTATACATTTTGGTCAATGAAGAAATATTATATTATTTTTTAAAATACATTTGGGGCATCAACTAATGGGTTGCTGATGAAAAACTTTGAAATTACACAACTTTGAAATTATTCTAAAGAATCTTAATATAAAATAATGTTCAAGCGGGAAGTAAAAACGATGGTGAATTATATTTGAGTTAATTAAAAACTAGCAATCTTTTAATGAACTTGAAAAACGCTTATAATAAAAGATATTCTTCCTCGAAATGTAAAGGAAAAAAAAAAACGTGTGTTTAGGGGGAGACAATCATATTTTTTTTCTTTCTCGGTGAAGTTAGGGGGAGGGCATACAGACACAATTGATCTGCTCTGATTCATTGTTCAATCACTGGAACGAATTTCCTGTTTCTATTTTTACACGACCCGTGTCCTCAATTCGACACGGTTTTGTGTTCGATAGACCACTACTTCAGTCTACAGACAATCAGTGGCACCATAAGTGGTGCTGTCTTGTTGGTCTCTCGTTTTGTTGGGTCAGAGGTAAGTGGATTTTGGGAACATCATATTTAATATGTTCGTTTTATACGCTGTGTCTTTGATAAGCCGTGTAACAAACATGCGTGTGTGTGAATGTGTGTGTAGAAAGAATTGTGTGCTGGTGTGTAAGACAATGTGTGTACGCGTGTATATTTGTCATTGTGGTGTGTGTGCCGGTATGTGTATGTGTGTGTTTGTATTTAAGACCATATGTGTGTATATGTTTGTGCTTGTGTGTGTGCCAGTTTGTATATGCGTGTGTGTTGGTGTATATATATATATGTATATATATATATATATATATATATATATATATATATATATATATATATATATATATATATATATATATATATATATATATATATATATATACATATGCATATTGAGCAGAATAATTACACATAGTGAAACACAAAGACGACGAACCGGTACCGATCGTTAACAAAACGATTCCTGTCTTCTTATGAAGTACAAAACTCCAGACTTCTTTTATGCTATTAATAATCAATCGGCTATAAAGTTATGTCCATGCTACAAAGATTGAACAACGCATGCGCCAATACCAGATCACCTCGTTCATTACTTGATATATATATATATATATATATATATATATATATATATATATATATATATATATATATATATATATTGAAATTATATATATATATATATATATATATATATATATATATATATATATATATATATATATATATATATATATTTAAACTATATATATATATTTAAATTATATATATATATATATGTTTAAATTATATATATATATATATATATATATATATATATATATATATATATATATATATACATATATACATAATAATATATATAATATAAGAGAATCAATGCAATAGTTTAAATCATTGTTAATTAAGTTTAGACACGAAACACAGTTGAATAATATTTGGAATTTTAAAACATTGAATTTACTTTTTATTTGTTACTTTCAATAAAATTAAATTTGTAAGGGAGATAACAACCAGAATCTATTTTCAAAAGTCATTGAAAGTAGAAAAAATTAATTTCAAAATTAAATTGTTACATTTTAAATTCTTATTATTTTTTTTGTTAATAAAAACATTGCATTTGTAATAAAACACGGTTAAGGCTATATATTGTTGCTAGATTGAATTTAAAATACGATAATAGTCTAAATAGAAAAGCAAATACGTTATTGCATAAAAAAATGTGTAGAAATGTCACAGTTTATAAACTAGAAGTGATAGTTTCTGAAAATGCCCACGACTTACAAATGTTATACTTTGGGAAAATGACAATGAAGTGATTAAGGGTCTACGCGCGCACTCACGCACGCACGCGCACGCACACACACACACGCACAAAAACCTTCATGTAATTACAAACAAATAAAACTCAAATAATTATCCCTAATCTGAACACTGTTTTAATAAATACAACATTTCGTCTACTTCAAAAATATATTCGAGCATTATTCAGAAATATCCAGCAATATTTATTTACAGAAACAATACATCATCGAAATCAACAATAATATTGTTAACACATGCTGCATATATAGATTTTAAATTTTATAATAATAAAAAAAAATGATTGGTGCTTAAAAATTAAATTTTACGACGTATTATTATTTTTAATTATTCCTAAAACTTGATTTTTGTAAACTAAGGAAAGACCGAGGCATTGCTCATATATGAACAGACAATCATCAATTGTTCTCTTTATCTATACTAAATCATTAACTGCTCCTTTTCCGTTGTTTACAGTAAATCAATAACTGCTCCCATTGTTTACAATAAATCACCTTTACAATGACTAGTGTCATATCAAATGTCCTGCTCCCATTGTTTACAGTAAAACACCTTCACAATGACTAGTGTCATATCAAATGTCCTGCTCCCATTCGTCCTTGCCCTTCTCCTTATCCACGTGTTGACTACGGCTAGCAATGTCAAGGTCATGTCCATCAACGCAATTCACGCGCAAGAGGACAACGACAGTGGAACAGCACTCAACTGCGGTACAGTTGTTTTTTTTTCGCTTTTTTTTTTAAAATTATCTTTTTAATTTTAAATTTCGAACGAACAATTGGTCGCTATTCATAGATGTGGATTCATGTGACTTCCGCTCTTGCGCTGTAAGTCATTACTGTGGCTTGATAAAAGATTACCCAGATAAAATACGAACAGGTGTAACTGTCCCCGGGGTGGGGGAAAGTTAAGTTCTCTAAGACCAGTCGGTTGACTGGGCAGATGAAGTAGAGTTTACCTGTTTCTCTGACCATAGACTATGCAAAGATATTTGTTGTATTCTTTGTTGTTGTGGGTTAGCTTTCATACAGGAACACGAGCAACAGTGGCAACTTGAAATGACAACTTTATTTACACTATGTACAGATAAATCCGTGGTACATCCATATTTGAAGATCAACTGATATAGGTACAAATAATAATCACGACTCCAAGTCATGGAGACATCTTACATTCACTGCCATCGTTCCAGTCCCAAGTCCTAGCACACAACACCCGTTCACCTTTTGCTCTCCCTTTTATTCACAACTTTCTCTCCCCTTACGTCAATGAGCGATCTCACCCAAAACACGGAAAAACACATGACGATCGCTCAGACAGTCCTTCCGCTAGCCAGGTACTCTTCATTCATGCAAAACACAATATAATAAAGATACATAATAATACAGTCTGTGACAATATTGTTGTCATCACAGTGTCCAACTACCTTAGCCCCCCTTCCCCATTTGCTATAAAATACTTTTTTTTTCACTATCCGCATAATTGCAGCAAAAGGGATTAAACTGAAGCAATTCCGACCGTAATGTCATGTGGTCTTTACTCATACAAAACAGACTTAAAGTAGTCACCACTAACGTCTTCGCTTACGCCCTACTCCCTACTCCTTCCACATTTATTTGCCACTCCCCATGCACAGGTCCCCCTCCCCATGCACAGGTCCACGTCCTCCATCCCCCCACACTCCATCCCCCACACTCCATCCCCCACACTCCATCCCCCACACTCCATCCCCCACACTCCATCCCCCACACTCCATCCCCCACACTCCATCCCCCACACTCCATCCCCCACACTCCATCCCCCACACTCCATCCCCCACACTCCATCCCCCACACTCCATCCCCCACACTCCATCCCCCACACTCCATCCCCCACACTCCATCCCCCACACTCCATCCCCCACACTCCATCCCCCACACTCCATCCCCCACACTCCATCCCCCACACTCCATCCCCCACACTCCATCCCCCACACTCCATCCCCCACACTCCATCCCCCACACTCCATCCCCCACACTCCATCCCCCACACTCCATCCCCCACACTCCATCCCCCACACTCCATCCCCCACACTCCATCCCCCACACTCCATCCCCCACACTCCATCCCCCACACTCCATCCCCCCACACTCCATCCCCCCACACTCCATCCCCCCACACTCCATCCCCCCACACTCCATCCCCCCCCACACTCCATCCCCCCCACACTCCATCCCCCCCCACACTCCATCCCCCCCACACTCCATCCCCCCCCACACTCCATCCCCCCCCCACACTCCATCCCCCCCACACTCCATCCCCCCCACACTCCATCCCCCCCCACACTCCATCCCCCCCACACTCCATCCCCCCCACACTCCATCCCCCCCACACTCCATCCCCCCCACACTCCATCCCCCCCACACTCCATCCCCCCCACACTCCATCCCCCCCCCACACTCCATCCCCCCCACACTCCATCCCCCCCACACTCCATCCCCCCCACACTCCATCCCCCCCACACTCCATCCCCCCCACACTCCATCCCCCCACACTCCATCCCCCCCACACTCCATCCCCCCCACACTCCATCCCCCCCACACTCCATCCCCCCCACACTCCATCCCCCCCACACTCCATCCCCCCCACACTCCATCCCCCCCACACTCCATCCCCCCCACACTCCATCCCCCCCACACTCCATCCCCCCCACACTCCATCCCCCCACACTCCATCCCCCCCACACTCCATCCCCCCCACACTCCATCCCCCCCACACTCCATCCCCCCCACACTCCATCCCCCCCCCACACTCCATCCCCCCCACACTCCATCCCCCCCACACTCCATCCCCCCACACTCCATCCCCCCCCACACTCCATCCCCCCCCACACTCCATCCCCCCCCCACACTCCATCCCCCCCCCACACTCCATCCCCCCCCCCACACTCCATCCCCCCCACACTCCATCCCCCCCACACTCCATCCCCCCCCCACACTCCATCCCCCCCCACACTCCATCCCCCCCCACACTCCATCCCCCCCCCACACTCCCATCCCCCCCCCCCACACTCCATCCCCCCCCACACTCCATCCCCCCCCACACTCCATCCCCCCCCACACTCCATCCCCCCCACACTCCATCCCCCCCCACACTCCATCCCCCCCACACTCCATCCCCCCCCCCACACTCCATCCCCCCCACACTCCATCCCCCCCCCCACACTCCATCCCCCCCCACACTCCATCCCCCCCACACTCCATCCCCCCCACACTCCATCCCCCCCACACTCCATCCCCCCCACACTCCATCCCCCCACACTCCATCCCCCCACACTCCATCCCCCCACACTCCATCCCCCCACACTCCATCCCCCCACACTCCATCCCCCCACACTCCATCCCCCACACTCCATCCCCCACACTCCATCCCCCCACACTCCATCCCCCCACACTCCATCCCCCACACTCCATCCCCCCACACTCCATCCCCCCACACTCCATCCCCCCACACTCCATCCACCCACACTCCATCCACCCACACTCCATCCACCCACACTCCATCCCCCCACACTCCATCCCCCACACTCCATCCCCCACACTCCATCCCCCCACACTCCATCCCCCCACACTCCATCCCCCACACTCCATCCCCCCCACACTTCATCCCCCACACTTCATCCCCCACACTCAATCCCCCAACACTCTCAATCCCCCAACACTCTCAATCCCCCAACACTCCGTCCCCCCACACTCCATTTCTCACTCTATCCCCCTACACTTCATCTCCCACACTCCATCCCCACACTCCATCCCCCACACTCCATCTCCCCACATACCACTCTCCATACACTCCATACCGCCCCCCCCCCCCACTCACTTCATCCCCCACACATTTCATCCCACAACACTCCATCCCCACACATTCCTTTTCCCCACATTCCATCCCCCACATTCCATCCCCCGCACTCCATCCCTCACACTTATCCCCCCATTAATCCCACTAAATGTTTGTTTGTATTACAGGGCATGAGGAGCTAAACATCACCTGGACGCCCAAAGATTTCTGTCCGGATCTGCATATTACTTTCCGTATCCATTACAGAGTTCGTAAGTCAAAGCTACACAATCACGTGGATAGCTACACGCTTTAGTATCAGGGATTGACATTTACAACCTCCACAATTATCTTTTTCTTTGAATGCCAATTTCTGTTTATATATATATATATATATATATATATATATATATATATATATATATATATATATATATATATATATATATATATATATACCTATATATATATATATATATATATATATATATATATATATATACCTGTACATACATGCACGTAAATATACTGATATACTGATACACATGCACATTCACATTCGCATAGAACATAACTAAAGATGGGTTATCATAGTGTCATAGATCAAAGCATAGTAATTATTAGCTATCCCTCATATCTTAGTTACCTTAACAACCCCCTATAACCATAGTCCTATTAAGGAAACAACAAACTCTTCATCTTACATTAAATCTACAGAAAGAAAATAGAACCTTACATTAAGTCATTAAGGCTACAGTGAAACCCCAACATACGGTTAAAATACAGTAAAATCCCAATTCAGGTATGAACAACAGTAATAAAAAAAACAAAATTTTAGCTAATTTTAAAACTCTAAAAACGTGTTTGGTTACATTAAAATTTCTGATATTCAAGCTACAGTAAAAAAAGAAAAAACTATATTTTAACTAGATTAACTGTCTACCACACCTTTAAACTACGGTAAAACCACACATTTTCCAGCCCACTACATAGACGGCGGCTTCATCAATGCCAGCATTCACTACCACGCCGACCCCAACCCTATAGTGGAATACGCTGACGACTTCGATTGTGAAATGATGCAACAATTTGGCCTAGGCTGTCCCATTAGCAACAAGGGTATGATATAAACTATACGTTATCTGCTTGCCAGTTAAAAACAAGCTAAAAGAAAACTAAAAACTTTAGACTGTAAAATAAAATATTTAAGCATTTAATTTCACAACAATTATTTTAAGTGAATCATTTATTTAATTATTATAATTTCAATTTCAGCTGTTTTTACGCTGACTAAAACATTTGAGGACATCGGCCAACTTAAACCTTACTTTGTGAGTAGCTTTTGCCGATTTGTTATTGGTAATTAAGCCAATATTCATTAAGTAATTCAGCTACCAGCCATATTTGATTTAGACGGTTTTAAAGTTGGAACATGGCAGTGTATTTGGCAGCAGAGCAAAAAAAAAAAAGAAAAAAAGAAAAAAAAAAAATATCTCAAACCCAGACTAAAATCAGGCTAAATATCCCAGGTATTAACTTTATTTTAGTATAAATTAAAAAAAAAACACCAGTTTTACTCTTTGGAGGCAATTTCTTTAATGAATTATTCTCAAATTACGAATTACCTCCCCTGTTAGCAGTAGAATACAACACATCTTAGTATCTAACTACTGCTTACATACAACCTGTTTCTCCTATCCTCAGGGCTCCTACGATGTTCTCATCCAAGTCTGGAACCAGGACAACCTACCATTGCTATGTGTCAACATCAGCCTAGTTATACTTAAATGTGGTGAACGATTGGACAATTTTTACTAACTCAAGCTAAATTTCTGTTTGTGAAAAAAAAATCCTATTCAAATTGGCTTACATTAAATAAAAACTATTTTTTTAAATAATATTAAGCAAACTACTAAGAGGTAATGTTCGATAAAAACTCAACAAGGACCTGGCTTAATGATCAATGATGTCTTGCATAGGTGTTGGGTGACAATTTCATGTTTTTAAACTCGTCACAAATTTATGATGTAGGGGAAACAACAATGATATATTTTAAAAATAATCTAATAGCGTGGTTTTATTCTTTCCCTTTGATATATATATATATAATGTATTTACGTATTCATTATTATTTGTTCTTTTTTTACACAAATATATGATTCTGCATTGCTACACTTATCATTAACATAAAGAATTAGGTAAATACATGCAACTGATGGAGAAAAATATCCCAAGTATACATGTGTACCTAATCTCGATAATGTCCTAGAATAGAAAATAGTAATGTGCCTCTCGTTCAATGTTCTGAAATCAAAGACCTCGAGATATAATAAAAAGCTTTAGTTATACCTCAATTAGTCTAGTGAGCTTTTTCCCCACAAACTTTGTTTTACATGTTTTAGAGCTAATATGTTGGGGGCGTGATTCAATGCTTTTAATCTAATAGAACTATAGCAATGTAAACTAGTGATCGACGTTTTTGATCGAATTAAATAAGGATGATTAGAATGGAATGGTAAAAATGTTAATAAAAATGATAATAAAGGTAACATAATAACACTTTTATGGTAGCACAAGAATAAAGTTAGATTTTTAACTTTATCTCTAATATATTCAAATTTTGTTCATTAAAGAATGACTTTATTCTAAATAGGGTTTGCTTAAATGAATTTTCATTTACTAATTGTAAGTCCAATAAAAAACTACTATTAACAATGCTCATTACACGTTTATTTTTTATCACATCATTTTTTTAAAGACAGAGATATTGAGTTATACGCAACCGATGTATCTTAGACACAACACAGTCAGCTTAACTGTTTGTAAAAGCTGGAGTATATAAATTAAATATAATTTTAACTGCAATTTAATTTTTAAAAATCCACGTTTTAAAAATGTCTATTTATTAATTAAATTAATTTTAAAGTGGTCATGGGAGGGGTTCAAACCTTTTTCCTTATGTATAAAATCATATATATATATATATATATATATATATATATATATATATATATATATATATATATATATATATATGTAGGGGTAGGGGTCCATGGAAGGCCCCCTTAACCCCCGTGCCTAGGCCACTAATACAAGGAGCAGTTAATACAGTCTACATCAAAAATTGCTAAAAATGCTACCAACTGAGTAAAATTAAAAAGCGGGTGAAGTAGCGTCATTCAACGCCTAATGTGACTGCAGATTAGAAAGCGAGAGGATTTATCTGGTCTAATTTAAAACAAGTGGGCCGCTGTGTACTAAGCTGAAATTAACACACAATGAACATGAACATGAACAGTGGCGTAGCCAGGATCGTCTCAAGGGGGGGGGGGGGGTTCCAAATTTTACCCTGGGACAAACTTTCGATTTGCACCCCCCCCCCACCCTAAAACTTTTGATTTGCACCCCCCCCCCCCCTCAAACTTGATTTGCACCCCCCCCCCCCCCTCAAACTTTCGATTTGCACCCCCCCTCATACTTTTTATATATACCGAGGGGTCTATGGGTGGGGGGTTATGACCCCCTTAACCCCCCCCCCCCTACCTACGCCACTGAACATGAACATAATCAGCCTACCGAAGTTTTAAACTTATTTTTTTACCCTTTCCAAGGTAAGATTTATTTTAAGGGAAATAACTCTGGCAATTGTATTTTGAAACCGTTAACTTCCCTTTGACCGATGTTAGAAATAGTTTTTTTAAAAATTTATTTCCTATTTCCAAACTGTGTTTATTAGTCATAAATTTCACTGGTACATAACTTAAACATTGCTGCAAAATAGCAAAGTAATATTCAAAGTATGTATTTCTTTAACCCATAGAGATAAAAAAGAGAAAATAGTAAATATTTTGTAGATTGATTACGCTTTACAATATTGACACCTTTTTGAGGAAGCATCCTGGGCGAGCCTATTCGATCAAAATCATTTAAATGTTTATTTTTGTTAACGGATGGCCATAATCAAAAGCCACTTCCTGTTACTCATACAAACAAGGGGAACTGCGCATGATCATGACTAACCGGATACCGTCTGCTGCAGAAAGTTAGCGGGAAACGTGCTCTACAAAAAAATATAAACTAATTATCTTTCTTTTTTCTCTTTACCTGCGGTATAATTTACTATTTTTGAAAATGTGTTTAAGGGTCATCCTTAAAAGAAGTCACGCTTTCTTTGACGATCACCCCTGCCCCCCCCTCCCCCCCCCCCCCATCGATTTTTTTCTTCTAAAATCTCAACTGCTTACTGTCAACATAGAATATTTTAATCAACGTCTATTACAATTTCTTAAAAACGTTTTCTAAAACGCGAAATAACTTCATTTTCTAACACTACTTTTAAAAATTATTTAGTGTGATGATTCCCCCCCCCCCCAATCCCCTCATCACACACAAGTGCAGTTTCTTCCAGACTTTTTTCTCCGGGTAGGGCACTTGAAACTTTCGGGGGGGGGGGGGGGGGGGCGTTGACTTTGTGGAAGAAACTCTGCACGAGTGTGACGTCGTTTATGGACGACCCCTCGCCAATAACTTCTATTCCAGTCTTTGAGTTATACGTTTAATAACTATGGTTTAAAATTGTACATGTGGATTGGTGATTATTGATAAAAGAAAAGACAAAAGACGTCATACAAGCTCACTAGGAAGGTAGGATGGTTGTTTTTATTTTTTTATTTTTTTTATTTTATGATATAAAATTAAAATAGGTGGGTGGGGTGAGAAAGTATAACTGACGCAGCATTCATTTGCTAAACAAAAATTATAGTTTTGGGGAGGGGGTGACGGGGGGAGGGTTGTGAATTGGGCTTCTTTTTTTTTTAAAAATATCTTTGAGGGTTTTTTGTGATGATGTGTGCAGCTTGACTAGGGTGTTTGGATTAACATTGGCTACAACAGCATCACGTGACTTTATGAAGGGCCTCTAATCTGTGAAGCATTCTTTAGACGGAAATATGTTGTACCCATATAAATGTGTAACCTTACCCAGTAGTCATACACGGGTTGTCCATTAGAGACGTTTACACATTTTTGCCGACATTTTAACCATACCATACCCACCACATACCTTCATCATTGCTACACACCGTGACAAAAAAAAGTCAGACTAATCCCCTAAATGACATAACGTTCTACTCAACGCTCCTAATTATGTTCGACAGTATCAGTTAAGAAAGGTTTAAAATAGGTAAACAAAATTTAGTTAAGGAAAGTGTTTGTAAAAAAAGTGATAAGTAGCACACGTTACAGTTTCATTTTTCTTGGGAATTTAAAAAAAAAAATTACTGTGGCGTCACACTTTCTAAAAACCCAAAACACCCCTCCTTCTCTCCTTAGTCGCTCAACGTCATAAACATGCGAACCCCCGCTACCCACTAAGGTAAAGTATGACCTGCTCCCGTTCTGTTTTGAGTCGGAGCTAGGTTTTAGTGGCTTTTGGTAAAGTTAGATGCTAACGGTATCTTCAAGAAGTCGTCCCATTTGTGTGACGCCAAAGCAATTTTTTTTTAAAATATCAGAACAGCTAGGCGAGTACTTGGGCAGGGCGGATAAAAAACGTATTAAACACTTTAAGGTAGTTACTCACGTGTAGGTCACTTGATAGGTAGCAGCACATACAGGTAGGTCATTTATAAGCTGTGTGTACCGGCAAGTCTTGGGATAGAAGCGCATACGGGTAGGTCATTTGACGTATGCACATATAGGTAGGTCATTGGACATCAGGAAATAAAGGTAGGTCATTTGACGTCTGCACATTATATGTAAGTCGTTTGACACCAGCACATATAGCTAGGTCATTTGACATCAGCAAATACAGGTAGGTCATTTGACATCAGCACATATACGTAGGTCATTTGACATCAGCACATATACGTAAGTCATTTGACATCAGCACATATACCTAGGTCATTTGACATCAGCACATATACGTAGGTCATTTGACATCAGCACATATACGTAGGTCATTTGACATCAGCACATATACCTAGGTCATTTGACATCAGCACATATACCTAGGTCATTTGGCAGCAATTAAAGCAGGTCATTTGACATCAGCACATATACATAGATCCTTTAACATCAGCACATATAGCTGACAGCAGAACACAAATGCCACACCAATGAGAGTCATAATACATCAACTCCATATTATATGAGAAATTCCATATGTGATGTTCCACAGTTGACAACTTACCTACATATAACACACGCCACTAAAGCAAACATTAACATTTAGCTAGTTATTTTTATAGTAATTAATGGCTTTAAAAAATGTTAAACTTTAGCGTATGTGATTGGTATCTACGGTAAAATACAAATGGGACAGCTAAAACAAGTTGTTTTTTTTTTTTGGCGACTTGAGCTGATTATAGTTTTGCACGTGGCCTTTTATTGTTGTGAGCAGAACTCACAAATCACGTGATGTTGTGACTTTGTTTATCGAACCTAGTTGCTCCACAATGGCAATTCGTTTGTTGTAGAATTGTAAATAGTCTCGAATACCAAATCGATTACCCCTAAGTTGTTATACATCGTCTGTTGTACCTAATCTATTATTATTTTGCAATGGATCTTTTTCTTCTATATAGGCCTATATTCTATTGTACAAAATCTATTTTTATTCTCTGTGGCATAATATGTTGTATCTATTACCTTGTAGCTGGTTTAATGTACGGAATATATTGTACATTGTCCGTTTTGTATCTAAGCTTGTATCAGTGGCGTCACTAGGTAGGGGGCGGGGGAGTGGGGGTGCATTCCCAAACGGTTGACACAATTTATAGTTGGGTGGTGGAGGGGGGGTGTTGAGAGTGACACTATGACAAAAAATCGTAAAATTTACTGTAAAAACAATTAATGTATTAAATTATGATAACAAAATAGTAGTGGCGAGGGGTGATACCAAGCTGAAAAAAAAGGATTATTATTGGTTGGGGGGAGGGGTTGTCTGGACACCCTCATTAACCGTTTCTATTGACACCAAACGAGTGACGCCAACGATTAATTCCATTATATCGTACCTAGTCTAATATATCAATTCTTTCGTATCAATGCTTCCATGTATAAATTCTCGAGCTGTTTACCGAATACATTTGCTTTAACCTTTACCATGAAATCGATGTTAAAAATTCAGCCTCTTTTGGGTTATACAAACGCATGCGCCCTACCGTGTTTAGCCCATGACGTCAAAAGTCGTACGTTAAAAGACGTAATGATTGTTTGTACAAGAATGCTTTGATCTCTGAACTAAGGGTCGCTCAATAGTGGTTACAGGAACTGTGAAGTCTTGCGCCATCCATGAAAACAATGGCGGTGTGTTTGGTTAAAAGTTAGAGAGTGGGGGATGGGGGGGGGGACTTTAAGTTTATTTTGTCATAATACAAAGTGTATGGTAGGAAATAGCAAAGGCGTAGCGACAAATTCCGGCACCCAGGGCCAATTTCAACTTTGCCCATTCCTCTCCCCCCCCCCCCCCCACTCATTTGTATAGTTATTC